AACCGTTGGAAGGTCAAGACCTCCAGTTACTCTCATCAGGACACTGTTTGTTAATACGAAGTGACTTCTTCATTTTATCACAAGCAACCTTAAAACACTTGTAACTGAAATATACACCCCCACCCACACGAGTACACAAAAATAAATACAATTATATGATTGTAATTTACATTTTAACATGCTTTTTAGTGTTAATTCTGTGTTTCTATTCTTGTGAACACTAGGCTATTCCTGCTGCCGTGAAGTGAGTGACCCCACAACACACGTCGACAGAAAGCAACTTTTCTCATGATTACAGCTAAAAACAAAAAAAAAGTAAGTGTTTTGATATGAATAAATTATGTGTACGAAATGACTGAAGACAACCTTACATAGATTTCTAGATAGCAAGATGTTTTAATCCAACGGAATAATTTATTGCAGGTTTAAAATTTTAATTGTACCTATACTCTAAATTTATACTCACAGTTGTTGCACAATACTGCTTTAGTGAACCTAAGTAATAAGTTAGACGGAACTGTATATTCATTGACTTTAATTCACAATGTAGACAACTTTCTGACCTAAAATAAGCAAAGGAAATTATTATATATATTTGTGTATTTTTTTAATTCTTCAAGGTTGGTATCAAATATATGATTAATCGGTCATCCAGTTAACACAATGTACTCTCTCTCACACACTTTTTCTCCAACTTTCTCTCTCTCTCTATATATATATATATGTGAAGAAATAAATTTTAAGGTGTGCTATATTTATGGAATAAAGTGATCAATATCAGAGATAGATCGTATGTAAATATAAATATAAAAGTGAACATTGAAGTCAACACTCAGAGACGACAGGCTTTTTAATGCTAGACACAGTCGTCAGGTCGCGACTGTTGGATTTTTTTCTCGACTATTTATATATATAGGTCAGTGGTGCATTGTGGGTAATCCATTCTGGCGGTTATTTTGGCGGGAGTGGCTTGTTTATTTATTTATTTCGGTTAATGGAACATAAAAGAAGATATTTGTTATTAAGTATAGAGTATGAATTCATATATTAAAAAACTTATGGCAAACTTATACCATCGTGCCCGTACAAAGACGGTGTGTCAAAAGCTTGTTTTTTCCCTTGGCACTGCTATTATATTAATGTCCAATCTCCCCACCTTCAAGACAAAAATGGTACTGTCCAGATTGTGCACCTTTGAGGCGCCGTTGGGGAAGGCCTAGTTTATTTCTTAAGCAAGTTCTTTTTACGTGCCATGTCTTTTCAGGACATCGGCGATCGTGACTCTCCACCTCCCTCTGTCTCTCACAGCTCAAAAAGTTCCTTCCCTCTGCTTCCTCCCCCAGACCACTTTCTGTTGTCCACTTGCTTAAACCCGCCAGGTACGTCACATGTTGTCTACCGTTGTCTCTTTTTCCATCTATTTGACTCATGAGTATCAGATTCTCCAGGCCCTCTTTCCTCATTATACGTCCCAGAAACTTCAGTTACCTCTTCCTGAGGTTAAGTAAAGCCTCCTCCTTATTTGCATCCTCGCTAAGACCTCATCGTTGCTCACATGCTCAGTCCATGATATCCTTAGCATTATGTGCCCAACAAAAAAATAAAAATAAATAAAATTTCAATTGGCACTGGTAGAGTACTGTACAAGTATCTCTATATTTCTTTCTATTCACTTTTTTTGTATCTGCCTATATTTCTGAGAAGAGGTTTTATGTACACTATTTACATGATTCAGACTATTGTCCTCATCTTTGATGCTATATTTATCACAATGCTTCGGCAGTTGTACCCTCGGGTCTTCTTCAGGTGGTTGGGATGTCGAATTGAACCCTTTATTTCACTCGCTGGGGTAGTCTGTTCTAGTTCCACATGCCATGTCCATGGCACGAGAACAGAATAATGTAGTGTGAATAAAAACAATGTTTTGTCATCAAAATGTTTGTTATTATTAAGAGGAAAGACCAAAGTATTTTTTGAAATTTATTAATCCTTTCTAGCACGTTCGAAATTTTGGTTAAAAATCTTTTGTTTATGGCAGCGGCCAAACCAATGATAAATGTTATTTTTTTTTTTGTGCTTTTTCTGGTGAAACGCACATTAATTTGAAATTCTTGCAAAAAATCAAATAATTGTCAGATTTTAATGAAGCTGTCAGTACATTCAGAAATGAATTAAATTATTTTTGAAATTTTTTTTTCTTTTTATATATGTTACTACCCACTTACCTAATTTCATGAAATTTCGAGAAATTCAATTTTTAGAGTGGGAATTTGTTTTAATAGTTAAAGGCGGGTCTCCTTGGAGAAAGTAAATCAAATCTTTTTTGTAAAACAGTTGCCCCTTACACTGAATACCTGCTCCGAATTGTAAAATAAAAAATGCAATAAAACTATGGAATTATTTAATTAGAAATGCTTTTAATTGTGCTGATAAATTAAATTTAATAAGGACATTATTGTCTTAAGAATTTTTTCGATGAGTAATTTATTTTTACAAGAATTGTTAGCATTTTTTAAAAATTTTAATTAAATAATTTATAATATTTAAAAATCATTCAAAAGTCTTCATTGCTTTCAAGGCAGCAGTTTGGTGGTATTGTTAAATGTAAAAGTACATTTACAAATCAAAAATTAAAAAGCTCCCAAGTCATTTGAGCCAATATATTTTTTAAAAATTAAGAAACATAATTTTTATTATATAAACATTCCCAATTTCTACCTATGGGAAGCTATATATGACATAATCCTTAAATAGATCACGTAATTTAAGTGTGGCCTGACACATTGCAATTTTGTCACTTTTCTTATTCAGTTGTTTCATTATTAACGTGTTTGCAAATCATCCTTTCAAAATTACAAAGTAAGTTTTACTTATTTTAATTACTATTTCACTAAATATTTTTATTTTATGTATTTATTTTAGTTTGGGCCATACTTCAATTAATTAATTTTTTGTTTAAGGTAGTAAACTTAAGAACCTCGAGACGAAATACAAATTTCATAAAGCATCATGAAATATAACTAAAAGTCAATAAAATATTAAATAATTGCTGAAAACATGTTAATTTGTAAAAATTACTAGGTAGTTAAAAACTGAAAAAAATGCATTCACTTAGATTTTGTAAATTTATATTATCTAGAAGAGCTGTCATCAACTCAGAATTTACGATACATCAATAAAGATCAAAGAAAAACAGGACCTATCGTTAAAAAATGCTAGTATATTACTTTTTTATTCAATAATTAAGTAATATCTATTTCAAATCAGATTAATTTAACTCTTAAATTTTCTAATTTTACTTAAATAACGTGTCAGAAATAGATATTTTATTTTTGGAAGATATTTAAAACTGATAATTTTGTTTAAATGGAACCATATTTTCTTTTTTTTTCTTAAATGGAAACATGTGACATTCAGCACTACCATACTAAAGCACTGATCTCACAACTGATAGAGAGCCAGATATGTTTTAGCCACAGGCTTAATCCGCAGGGCCAGGGGTCAGCAACTTATGGCACGCCAGCAATTTCCAATGGCACACAGCTGTAAATGACATCACAAAGGCCAAACCAATAACTACTAAAATGCAAAGAAGATATTTAGCTGTTTCAATTTTAATATATACTGAAGTATGAAGAAAAATATCTGGAAAAACAAACAAAAATCCTTAGAATGTGATTATGTTGTTTTAATGTTTTTTTAGAATGTTTTTTATGTTGTTGACATTTTATTCATAATTAAAACAACATAATCACATTCTAAGGATTTTTGTTTGTTTTTCCAGATATTTTTCTTCATTCTGTTGGATTTATATCCATTTATATTTGCTAACATACTGAAGTATATATGCTATATAAAATATATTGTAGAACAGGTATATTGACCTTGACTTGTATAAAAAATATGCATGCTGTTGGCACACTGAATGAATTTAAAAACCCTTAGTCAGCATATAGTTAGCAAAAGGTTGCTGACCACTGCACTAGGCTATGTATCCAAGAAATTTGAAACTTTTTATTAAAACAAAATTTAGTTAAAAAAATGATGGTCTGATAGATCTCTTTTAATTTGGAGCATTTATTTGAATCTCATGCAATTGCTACACTAATTCAACAGTTTAATTTAAATACAATTAAAAGTTTCTAACAGAGAATTGGGCTCTAGAGATACAAGAGATGTGTAATTCGTAGGCCAGTGATGTAACTGTTATTACATGAATTCTGTTGGCCAAGCAAAACAGAGAAACAAGCAAAGTTCAGAAAATTGGTGCTCTACTTGTATTTAATATTCCAGAATATTGAAATATTTTCTTAAATGCTTCTTGTCAATCAAAGCCTTTTCAGTTATCTGAATTTTGTCTAATTGATCTAACTAAGTTAAAATCATCCTTTGCCCATTTCCAGATTGAAGGTCTTCCAGATTAGAATGGTATGAACATTGTTCATTTCTAATCAGGAAATATCAATGTTTGAGATAAAATTTAATCATATATCAACTTAAAACTTTTCTTGAAACCTGACACTATTTCGTTTAGGTATAAAATAAATACCTTAAAAAAAAAAGAAAGAAAAACGTCTCATATTGCTCATATCGCAAAACTGGTTAAAAACAAAAACATTAAATAATCATAAAAACAAAAAATAAATAATTAACTGAAATGAAAGATAGAGAAAGAAAAAGAGCACCTTGATGTGGTGCAATGGTTAGCAAGATTGTCTTGCAAGAAAAATCATGACTGAGTAGTGGGTTTGATCCTCACTGGTAGCCCCATACTTTTGGCCTTGTGGTACATTTAAGTTATGCTTAGAAAATCACCCTAGAGAAAGAAAAATGTCAAAAAGGTGACTCCGAATCATTTTTTTTTAATAACACATTAGTAGACTTTGATTTACTTAAAAATGCTTTTATTTAGTCTTTTACAAGATTGAGGATATTGACAGTCTGGAGAATGGTAATTAAAAAAAAAAAATATATATATAGAAGGTAAGTAAAGAATTTGATCATGTCACTCGTCGGGGGGTTGAGGCATTAAAGGAAAATGATAGATCCTCATCCAAACTGTCCATAGAGCTAGGTGACGAAGATGACAGGCGTGTAGTTTCCATTGCAACAGGATTTACAGTATTTGATGTGAACACAGCTTGAAGGAGGCCATAGCTGACAGTGATTACAAACAAGGTGAATAAGTAACTTGGAAGGCCAAATCCATAGGAAAAATAAAGAATTAGATAAAGTAGCAGCAGATGAAAGAGTGTAGGGTAGCTGGCTAGAAAGCGTAAACTTAAGTGGGGGCTGGTTGAAGTTGATGTGATGCGTAACCGGTTTGGGGACTGGAAATCCCGAAAACGGAATGGTGGACAAAGGTACACTCGAGAGAGCCGCCCCAAAAAGTCTTGGCGATAATACAGCCTATTGATAGTCGATGCACACTGAAAAGAGAGATGGAATAAAATAGTTCATTTTTTAAATGACAATGGTATATTTCATTATTTGTCTGAATAGCAGCATACAAGTAATTTGTTTTTTATGGCTTAACATTTGTGGCTTATTTTTAATTTTTTTAATCATAGGAAAGTAGGTATAAACTGCTATTCGTGTCCAAAAGATGGGGGAGGACTGTAAATTGGGCAATAGATGATCCTATCTACTTCTATTTTTAAAACTGATACATATTTTGGATTAAAAGAATAATTCTATTTCCAGATACAAGTCCCAATATTTAACCCTTAGCTAGGAGAGGAGATGGAGTCAGACATTTTTCCAAGGGTATCTGCATGTAAGTGAATGCAATGAACCCAACCAGAATACAAATTCAGCTGATTTATTATGAGACACTATCCATTATACTACCTGCACAACACTATATATATATATATATATATATATATATATATATAAGATATGAACAAATGAAGTATAATTCCACTGTCCATAACATTTAATTAAAAAGAGTGCTCAATACAGAGTGGAGCTAAATATTATTATAGGAGATTAAAACAAAAACGTTTTATGTGTCTCCTCAAGTGATGGTAAATTACTGGTGAGTGAACGATTAATTTAATTTTAAAAGCAGAATACTTCCTTTTCTCAAAAAAATTAAAAGGAGGCTTATAGGTGTTACCATGATTAACCAATAATTAGCCATCACCCAAGGAGACACATTTGTAGTGTTGAAACATGATTGCTATTGTGTAGTGATTTTTTAACATGTTTTTGTTGTTATATATATATATATATATATATATAGGTTGATTGTCATTTCTTAACAGAAATAGACCATCTCTACAACAAATTTCTCTCTTTTTTTTTTTTTTTTTAACTTTCAGACTCACTGATCATGAGAATGCAAGACTTTTTAAACCAGCCTTACTTTTAAAAGCTTTTGCGCAAATGTGGCACCTGAAAGGGAGATTCCTAAGCCCAACAGGCATGGCATGATCGCTCCTACTGCAAAATGTGGTAATGACTGACATTGAAGTAGGAGTAAATGAGATAATTAAGCACTGGAAATTGAACCAAATAAGTAATTTTTAGAATTAAGATCCCAAAAAAGAAGGATCCCAAAAAGTTATGTCTTTGTCTGAACACCCAATATAATAAGCCTGATTTGGTGATTTTATACAGCCATGTGTACCGGGTGACAAAAGAGACCCTCTGTTGTTGGATTCTGACGTTTCAACTCTTGGACATGGAGACATAAGAAAATTGGACAAACTTTTGTCACTTTCTCAAAACATTTTGGACAAAGTAGATTAGCATGGAAAAAAAAAAACACAAAAAACAAAAAAAAAAACAAACATATCTAGTGAGCTTGAGTAAATGGATTGTGGAACATGGTTTAGCAAAGATAACAAAAAGTTATTAGGAGCTACAAATGATACAAAATTGTGGAGATCCATGATCTCCAACATCCTAAATGAAGATGGTATATAGAAGAAGTGATGAAGTTCATTTAATGACTATACTATGATCTCCTGCCTTGTGTATTGGTCTTCGATGTATACACAAATACATCTTATCCATATCAAAATGTCTAAAGTTTTCAACTAGAATATAGTGCCAATCTGTTAACAGCAGATCACTTAACCATTGCAAATTACCTGTAAGTTACTTCAGGGATGTTCTGCAGAGTACCACATTGATGCAACACAATCCCCTAAGATTGGGATCTGAAGAATTTGGTTTGCAAGGAAGTCTTCTTCATGAAAGCCATTTCTGTGAAACTTGTGCAGCATGTCTGGGTTTATTGTTCTGCTGAAAGTTGCAAACTAGATTGGTGGCAAGGTCTCATCGTTTTGCAGTTTAAAAGGTTAGATGTAACCATAATGTTTAACTGTTACTTCTCACTTATGGAACTCAACTTAGAGCTTCAAAAATTTAAATTGAAATGCCCATCATTACTTTCTGTCTTCTTAATTCTTGTTCTTTTATTGCCCTTTCTCCTTCATAGTATTTTTCTTGTGCTCTCTAATCCTCAGTAACACCTTGTATTTTAGTAGCTTTACTTGGGGTGAAATGATTAAAAAAATAATTGCAAATCATTTTCATACCAAACAGAAAAAAATGTCAGGTAACGCCAGCTGATGTTTCTTATTCTTTCATAACCTTTTATTAACCCTTTATCTTAGAAAAAGGATTGAACACATGGGATCAAATGAACAGATGAATTCAATATATCTGGGCCTTGATACACAAAATAGCCACAGAAATTCAACCAGGCAGCTACCTCAATGGTGAACAGTCTGTGTAACTTAGACTATTATTATGACAAGCATGACATGTGATTGGTAACCTGAAGGGAAGGTAGTAGGTTCATACAATGATTCAAGAAAGAGGGCTGGGGAGTAACCCTTTAAACCTAGTTAGAGCTTGCAGATACTCTAATTTAAATAAACAAATTTAACATGTCTTATTTATTTATTATCTGTCAGTCAGTTTGTCCAGCTATCTTTTCTCTCTATTTTCTTAACAAAATTCCTGCCAAGTGAAAAAAAAAATTTAGCCTGTTATTTTTTTTTTTCCAACTTGTTCAAAAGTATGATACAACTACTAATTGTTTGTAAAATTCAAGAAAAGAAGTTTTACCTTGCTACACTGTTAAATTACTATTTGTAAGTTAATTTTGCCATGCAGTTCAAGTAGCAGAATGCCGGCATAATGGATATGTCACTTGCCAGATTACGTCCAGGACAGCATGTTCAAATCAGGGCAGAATTCATTTGTTTACATGATACACGCCTTTGCCTCTGAATAGCACAGAAGAGAGGAACAAAGAAACTTATTGTATGAGAAAGATATCTGCAAGTCTCATTCAAAACAGTGACCAGGTTAGGCACATAGACTACAATCAAGATGCCAACCACTGGTCAAACAAAACAGAAGCTGCTGAGTTCTCTAAAGAAAGATCTAGAAACAAGGGCCTTTGACAATTTTGGGAGTAGATTATACATGGAACATATCTATAGTGGTAAGCTATTATTTCCCCCTTAGCTACACATATATGTCACATTCTTTGTTATATTTGATGTCAGATTACCTTACATATATTACTTGTTGCTCACCTGTGTATTGATGTGGCAGCAGACACCATAAAGTATCCGCACCAGAAAGGCATTCTCGTAAGTTCTGATTGGTTGTAATTCGGGATCTCCTTGGTATTTCACATCAGATTTTCGCAAGTTATTAATAAGCTGCAATGCAAATATGAAAAATAAAGTCAATGTGCATTTAAGAAAAAAATGAAGCGTAATTTTCAAAAAAATACCTAGTGTCTCACTTGACACTGTCAAAATAATGTTAGTCTTATTAATGTTCTGTAGTGAGGTTATCATCATAGACGTCCGATGATAGTCACAGATATGAAAAAGAGTTAACTGCAGTATGTGATATTTGTTTATTGATTAACATATTCATTTAAATATGAATAAATTAATAGATACAGATTATTAATGTGCAATCTTATTAAATATTAATGAAACTGGATTTGTTAAATTTTGTGAATATCGATAATGAAATGAGCTAAACAGGATTTAAAAATCAAAAGCATTTTAGTGTGTCTTTACGAAATGCTGAATAAAATTGTGTTGTAATTAAAGTTCAGGAAATTATTGAACATTTAAAACCAGTTGTTTTTTTTCATAAGGTCAGATCATTTCAGTAGCACTTAATTTATTAACTTAATCACTATATGTTTATTTACCCTACTGATTTATTAAATTGTTTATTGGAATGGTTGGCAAAACATCAGCTAATTGCCAAATGATTCAAACGTTATAAAATTTTAAATAACAAGGATTTCCTTATTGTTGGTCAACATGTGTTAATAACTTAGTAAATGTTTATAAATTTATGAATTCAAAAAAAATTTTCACATTTGTTTCTTTTTAAATTGGAAAAAGATAAATATTGTATTAGGTTTTAGAATGTTGTAAATATAAAATTATTCTTGTAAATAAACAATCTAATAAAGCATTTTGAAAAATCTCAAAAACAAAAAAATGTGTATAAATTCACTTTCATCATCCGTATAGGTTTTATTACAATTCTAATCATTTTTTAAAACAATAAACATTGCCGAAGATTGTAGAGAGTTAAAAAAAATGTGGTGTCATGGGAAAAACCGTTTTTTTGACACTCTGTCTTATTGTGGGCACGTTTATCCATGTTTGTGAAGCTGTTTTACTTGTATCAAGCCATTTTACTTGCAATGCACAAAATGCCTTTGCTCCTGATGAATGCACAATTGTAGATGTGCACGTACAGAGTGGTACTAAAATTTACAGAATGCAACATAAATTCTCTCAAACTTTGCAGGGAGTTGATCCTTCAATTTCTGAATGGTACAAAACTTTTCATAATAAAGGCCTTTCACAAGCCAGCCCACACACAAAAATTTGAAGGAGTGTAACAGCCAACATTATGCATTATAGTATCCATTTCCATTGAGAGTTTTTTTTTTTTGTCAAACCATTGGTGAAAGAAAAATGAATAAACTGCTAAACTATTAACATGACTTTCCAGAATCTGGGTGCTACTTTTGACACTACCCTGTATATTTAATCAACTCACCTGATATCTTCCCACATCAGTAAGTTTCCATCCTTCAGAGGTCTCTTTCATCTCTGGTGAATTGTATTTGTTTGAAGTGTTCTTTGGCTGACCAAATTCTGTTGGATCATTGTTGTAAATGGAACTGCTCAGTAATACTTCTGGAGTAGACACCTAGAATAAAAATCATCCATAAAACAATACTACTAGCAGTTATTTTTTTAAAATCATTTTTCCCCAAGAAAGGCAATAAAGCCACTAAGATGCAGGGGGGGGTCACTCAATATGAGAGAATATGAGGAAAAAAAAAAATAAAAACAAATGCTATTAAGGAGCGAGAACAATAAAAAATAGGAATTAAGAAGACAGAAGACGACTGACATTGCATTTAAATCTTTGAAAATCAAATTTGACTGGGAAGCAAGAAGTTGGAAGAGAGCCCCACAAGCGAGAAGTGTGAGAGAAGAAACTTTTGGTATAGAACTTAAGGTTACATCTAACCAATTCAAATGTAAAATGATGAGACATTAACAACTTTTTTGAGAATAACAATGATTTTTCCAGATAAAGTGCTACTATTTAACCCATATCTGGTGAAGAAGATGGAAGTTCAGAAAGCCAGACATATATCTATATAGATACATGAATAAACAAGAAAATTAACAGAATATTCCATGAATTCTTTAGGAATTTATAGAATATATATATATATATATATATATATATATATATATGAGACTTTGAAATTCAAACCTGAGGACACCTACTATATCTAATGCAGAGTAGCTTTTCCACTTTGTCATATGTGTTTTTGTTTGGATATTATTCTACATCTTATTATCATATATATATATATATATATATATATATATATATATATATATATATATATATATATATATGTGTGTGTGTGTGTGTATATGTGTATTGTTTTTTTTTTTTAAAGTATTAATGGAACCATTTTTCAACTGGCATTTTTATTAATTCAAACGTTATTTTTAGTGGATATCCATATTTGAGTAGACACCCCAATTTTTCAAATTTAAGCACTGTCTATTCCGTCCAACACCTTGTGCACTTGAGAAAATGGTAGTAGGTGTAGGTGCCAGTCAGCACAGTTTCTAGATTGCATGCACCGGTAGACATAGTACACACTGTTAAAAAAAAAAAAAAAAAAAAAAAAAAAATGGGTTGTCTATTTAAATAACATTTAAAGTAATCTCTTTCTCTATACATATATACACATACACACACATCTCCCTCCACCCTCTGACTTTGTTTTTCATTTTTCTATTTTAGCTTATGTCTAACTTTTAGTTAGTCAATCCAGTCAATGCCCACAAATATATTTTTAATTTTGACATTAGGCTATCCAACTTTTTAACTTTCTAAAGAGGTAACAATTTGTTTTCAAATTTCCCAAATAAATCATTTGTATATGTTATCTACCATCGCCCGATGAGGAATGATTATATTTTCGAAACATGAAAGTTTTTGTGTAGTGATGCAAAATGTTTTCATTGTAATCTATTATAATAAAAATATTTTAATATTTTGCTCTATGTTGTATTGAGCACATTTTTAAAAAGTAAATGTTAAGAACTGTGAATTCTAGCTTCAATTGTTCTTTCTCTTTCTTAAGATATTATATATATATATATATATATATATATATATATTAAAAGGCAGATGACATTAAGACAGAGTAGCTACTCCTATTTAAAAATACAGGACCAGAGTGACTATTATATACAATATTAAAATGTTGTATTCTCCCATGACTCACATCAAAAGGTATTGAAAAAAAATGCTTCTGATGCAAAAGTGAAGTAAGCAAACCAGAGAGGACACACACACACAAAAAGGAAAATATACTAACCTGGAAGATTGTTTGTAAATTATTCTCCACACATTCAAGGTGTTGTCTTGTCTTGTAATTGAGCTCGGCACCATTTACATCGTTTGTGGGAGGATCAACACTGAAAAAGTTAACAATTTTGGACCACACGGAAGGCAGCTTAAACTGGGATGGCTTCTCAGTTCCTTCTGCTTCAATTACTGCATTTTTGGCTTGATTCACATTAATTAATAACTTGCGGATCTGAGAAAGAGAAAACAAGTCGGCAACTGAGTGCTTTCGTTTTATCAAAGGGCATATTTGTTTTAGCTCAAATAAAAATTTATAAAATGTACAAAGTACAGAAACAAAGTATAAAGGAACTTTTCAAAACACCTGGCATTTGATTGCTGTTATGATGTTGATTTGGGGTTAGTAGAGACAAACGCCAAATAACACGTAACAATAAAAAGGGTTTTAATAGGTTGGTAAAAAGGTACAGAAATCGCCTGAGTAGTCAATAACTAGCTCAGCTAAGAACTTCTCTGTCTAGCTATTTCTCATTATTTAAAGTCTCTGTTCACAGACGCAGACAAGTTCATCTTCAAGAGGGGTGGTAGGTTTCCGACACAACAATTGCAAATATTATTGACATTGATAAAATTTTAACTTTGCATAAATGTTAACAAAATAACACATGCAAGTGTGTACCGTATCAAACACTTATCAGTTTATAAGAAACAACAAGTCACAACTCTCTCATGAGAATGCATAAGGAATCATAGCAAAATAAGAAATAACAATGAAATTATTTCTCACTACTTACCAAATGCCTGAATGAAGACATTTTATATTATAGCAAATACTTGATATCTTAAAAATGGTTGAAACTATAATTTTTAACTTTACTAAATTGCCTAAGATTTATCAGGTCTGAAAAATCATTATGTATTTATGTGCTATCTCCCTTCAGGATTCTAGTGATCATATCTCTCCACAATTTCTTGTCCTTTTTAATTGTAAGGAATTTATATTTCTCTACCATTTGTCTCATCCATTTTGCACAAACTCATTAGGTAAGTTATGTTCTTACCCTCTACATTTCCCTTCCCTTCATATGTCCTGTGAGTATTAAATTTTCTAAGCTATACTTCCTCATAATGTGTTCCAGAAATATCAACCATCTCTTTCTCATTTTAAGTAAGAGTGCCTTTCTTGTTCCCATCTTTTTTAGAATTTTCTTGTTGTACACATGTCCATGGTATTCTCAGCATCCGTCTATAGAACCAGATTTCTGTTACTTAGAGTCTCTTCTTCATCTGTGAGGAAATTGTCCAGGATTCAGACATACGGAAGGTTAGATATGAAATAGCACTTTCACAGTCTTTCCTTTATTTCTAACTAAATATTTTTATGTTTTAATATATTGATTGGTTTCTGGAAGGCCTCTTTTACTATTCTGATGCACATTTGGTTTGATTGATTTGTTTTTTGTGTTTTTTTTATGGGTTACTTAAAACCAGAAAATATTTTAGATAGTAAGAATTATTTCTTTTGAGATAATAATGGTTTTAGTGATATAAGACTTACTAATTAACCCATAGCTGGGGTGCAGAAGAGGTGGATTCATATCATAATATATTTGTGCATAAGTGACTATAATGAACCCAAAAGGAATTGAAACTCCCTCCTCTGATTTACAATTCTGAGTCATTATCCATTACACCACCTACACATCTAAGCTTACTACAACTGGCATTCTCAGGCGGTAACCCATCTAGGGTTTACAGACTTGACATGGCTTAACTTTAGTGATTGTACAGGAACTGGTGTTTCAATGTGTTATAGCCATAAGATGTGTGCATTCAAATCTCTTTCAGTTGTCTTCTTACACTTGATAAAACAAAATGACATCAACCTATTTTGTAAGCTTATTGGGCATTTACCACTGCAGTAGTTAGCGTCTGAATTTGTTATTGAGACTTTTTAAAGTAACTCACAGTCTGAGTTTGTTTTGGAAGCTTCAAAGTATCTTTTGTGTTTTCAAGAAAGGAGAAAATAATATATAAGTTTTATATACCAGAATAATGGGTTTGAAAAAAATTTTTGACACAAAGCCTTCATTGGTTTAAGTATCAGTCTAGTTACATCAACAATAAATTTTTCCAAAGAACTTAAAAATTCCCAATTTAGAAAATTTTAATCATTTAATATATACCCAGGTTTTTTTGTCTATATACCAGAATAATTTCTAAAGGAAACCAAACAAAATTCACAGGATTAAAAAGGAAAATTTTCTGACAGTGCCAAAAATTGGAAAAATAATTTTTTACCAGAAATCAATTTAAAAAAATATTGAGGCTAAAGATTGAAAGGGGCAAACTCATTAAGAGCTTCATTTTTAAACTAAAGGTTGTTTGTCTAGTTACATTTATAAATGGGACATTTTCCATTTTTTACATTTTTCCAAAAAAATTTTTTTAAAATTTTTTAGAAATAGATTGTGAATTTTTAAAAATCCATTTACATGACAATTTTTCACCCAATGACCAATTGTTGTGGTTTTTTTTGAAAAAACTAAACGTTAACAAAAACAAAAGAAAATAAGATATAAAAAGTTTCCAATAACTTTAATGTTTTGAGAGTCTGAGAGAAAGATTTATCTATCTCTTCAATTGGAAAAGAGAATATTAAAGAGAACATTACTGAGTGGTAGAAGTAATGAAAAGAACAGAGAAATTAAAATGTAAGATAATGATTGACATTGCATTCAAATTCTGAAGATCAAAGTTGACTGGGAAGCAAAAAACCGGAAGTTAGTTCCAACAAGCAAGAAGTACAAAAGAAGAAATGGTTAGCATAGAACTTATTATTACGTCTAGCCATTTCAACTGTAAAATACTGAGACCTTGTTGCTAATCTAATACTGCACTTAAATTCATAAAGTCTAGGTATCAAAGAGGAAAGCTCATTAAAACAATTACCATGAAAATATTTATAGAAAAGGCACAGAGAAACTACAGTAATGATGGTGGAAAAAATGACCAGGTGTAAAAATAATTTATATTTTTGATATCAAATTTTCAGAGAAGTATTTCCATTTTGTTCATAAGAAAGTGTGGTTAAAGATTTTGAGATATTAATGTAATTTGTATCAATAAACTCAATGAAACATGGAAAGTTCAGAAGATTCATTTTTTTTTTTTTTCCAATATTGAATTAAAAAAAAAAAAGAAGAAAAAATTTGAGATGCCATGTCAGGCCCAATAATATTGCAGATTTTTTTTCATTCTCGAAGATACAATCAATTCACAAAGATATTTCTTATTGTTAAAGCATACAAGGCCAAAAATAATTGAAAGCAAAAATGGTACTATTGTCATTTGGGGTCTATTATATATGTTATTATTATTGTTGTGGACTCCATACTAAAACAGAAACATTGTGGCGAACAGTATACAACAATAGCACCATAAAAATGTTATACAGTTCATCATTATTGTTGACAATATGGCAGTAAAAGGATAAAAAGAATGGGATCTGAAGGTCCCTAGCATTCTAATGTTGCATCATACATGCTTTTCTGTTGATTATTCCTATAAAGTGATATGTGAATCAAACAAAAATTTCATGAATATACTTCACAGTCATAAGCCAAAATGACTAAAACAGTACATACCATATAAAAAAAATGACTAAAACTGTACATACCATATAAAAAAAATGACTAAAACTGTACATACCATATAAAAAAAATGACTAAAACCGTAGATGCCACATATAAAAAATGACTAAAATAGTAGATGCCACATATAAAAAATGACTAAAATAGTACATACCATATTAAAAAAATGACTAAAACAGTACATACCATATAAAAAAAATGACTAAAACTGTACATACCATATAAAAAAAATGACTAAAACTGTACATACCATATAAAAAAAATGACTAAAACTGTACATACCATATAAAAAAATGACTAAAACTGTACATACCATATAAAAAAATGACTAAAACAGTACATACCATGTCAACTGTGTAGCGTTCAAACAAAGGCACATATTGGAATCCAGGTCGCTCGAGTTCTGAGATTTGTAAATTCAGGGCTGCATTCATCTTGTGGTCCGAGGCCAGATAGCTGCCACTTAGATCTCTGCCGGTGCCAGCTGGCAGGAGAGATGGTTGACACATTTCATGTTCAGCTGCAAGCAACAACTTTCATTATGTTTTATTGCTAATTCTTATGAATCATTAAATGAAGACAAAAAAAACAAACATCTCAGTAATCTACTTGATTGGGTCAAATGATTTGCATTAACAGGATCTTGAAAGTCAAAAATATTTTATTACTGTCACTTCTTTTAACAGATTAATATTGTATTCAGCATTGAACAGGGTCTACGCATTAGTTATAATTATTATAAGGATGATTAAATGGTGATAAATAAACAAAAAAAATGCCTCCCACAATTATACATACTGGGTGTGTGACAGCAAAATTGTCCAATTGTTAGATTAAACTCTGAAACACTGTATCTAAGAAATGATTAAAGATATCTTACTGAAATTCTCCAAGGTCTTTATAACACTACTGGAATCTACTTTGAGCAATAAGAACATAATTATTTTCCAAGCTTAACAGAAGAATTGTGATGAAACCAACCATAAACGAAAATGATATGTTCATCGTTAATTACTCATAGCTAAGCATTGAAAGCTCATGAAGTATTGAAATAAATTTTTATATATATATATATATATATATATATATATATATATATATATATATCTTGTTCAGGATCATTTTCCCACTTATTCAAAGTGATCTTCGCCCTATGTAACCTTCAAACTTTCTGTCCTGGAGTATCAAGGTTCACAGGTTTCATGTACGATTTCATTATCAAGTCTTTTTTTCAGTGCTCTTTGGAGTGTCATGAACTGAGTTGGATCTTTTCTAATTGATCTCTTTAGCTCTAAATTGAAATGATGATTCCTTATCCTGTTGTGACCTCTTAATCCAGTTTTCCTCTCTACTGTTCTCACTTTTTTAAACATTATTCACCATTCTCTTGATGGTTCTTGTATCGACTTTAATGATGGTACCATTACTGAAGGCCTAAATCTTTTTCCTCTCACCATTGCTCATTTGCAAAGACAGTGGGTCTGACACAAAACAATTTTAACCAGTTCCCTTTCTAGCTGAATATCTCAAGGGTTTTTTCAGTGATTCTCATGACAAATGGTGTCAAGATAGCTAAACATCTTAACTGAAAGCCTGGAAAAAGGAAACTCAGCTTAATGTTTTTTTTTTTTTTTTTTTTTTTTTTAGATATTAAACATTTTTGGAATGGATAATTATGCTGTTACATGATTTGGACAATTTTGCTGTTACAGCCGGTATAATAGCCCTCCCTATTCCATCTCTTGCATCAATTATTAATAACTGAAAATTCATTTCTACTTTTATTTTTAATGAATGGAAATGAAAAAAGGGCACACATGCTTAACATCAGAAGGAGACAGATGAAATTTCTAGAAAAGAGGGCTTGAAAAATTTGATACACTCAAGACAGAGTGAAAGCAAAAAGGGACAGAGATAAGCAATACATAATCTTCCTTGACTAAATGAATGGCAGAGGAAGGTTTAGGAGAGATAACAAAAAGACAAAATTTAATAAAAACTACAAAAGACAGGAAATTGTAGAGAGCCATGACTACCAGTGTCCTGAAGGGACACGACACATAGAAGAAAAAGAATGACTCTCTCAAAAAGACTAATCTTAACAACTATTTGTGGATAATTTATTTTCCTTCTTTGTAATAGCACTTACCTCTGTGCAGCATATTGTTCAGGGAGGGATTACAAAATACCTGGAAATATAACAGTATTTATTTAGAAATCAGCTTATAAGACACTGTTTTTTTCGTTTTTTGCAGTAAAAAAAAAATAACAAAAAAAAAAAAAAAGTATGTGTAAAACATTTTAAAACACAGCTTGATCGTCATCAAAATAAAAGTCAGTACATTAGTATACTTGAAAAATCTGTAATACCTCTATAAAGCCAGTTTCTATATTTACTAACCTTTGTGATTCTGAACAACATGTAAGCATTGTGAGGGGAAGTCATGTCCATCCGGAAAAGCCGAGGGAGTGTCTGATGGAAAATGGCAGTGTAGAACAACAAATTATCCACCACAAAGTTGTACCTGGATTTAAAAGAAATTATTTAAAACAAAAAAACCTCTCATATAAACAACTGATGTTAGAAAAATTATAAATTTCATCTTAAAGGGGAAAAAGTAAAGAACTAGAATTACTGGTAATAATTGTTTCCTTCAAAAATTTATTGCTGGTAATAATTTTTTGGTAATAATGTGTTGCTGGTATTAAAACCTATTTTTACACGTTTTGACCCCAGTTTGCGGGGTTAACTACTTTCCCATAGTTGGGACCCTAACAGTTGCTGCAACCCCAGCTCAGGGGGAACATCAGCAATTAAGAGGCGGTTCCATGCTCTGTAAAACCTCCCAATCAGAGACCTTGCTGCTGGATGTAGTTTATCGTCATACCCAAGATGGTCAGTGAAATGGAAAACCTCAATTTAACATCTTTTCATGTGTACCGTTTTTTTTAAAGGCCAGCATTAATACTTATGGTAGCTATTTAAAAATTTAGTTAAAGTTGTTAAACTCAAATATTTAATGATGCAACAGGAGAATTTTTGTGGGTATTTCATAGTCGTAGAACCGTCCATGAGCTTATTTAATCATTAACTTAAGAATTAGGATTGATCAGAAAATTCAAATAGCAAAAATCACAAAATGTCCACAGGTATTTCTAACTAAGGATAAAGAATCAAATTAATTACAAATAAAATAGATATACAGGGTGTTTCAAAAGCCTGTGTCATATTATGACACCGTAAAGGGGCAAAAAACAAAATTAAATTAAAATTAACAGAAGAAAACTTGAAACTTTTAGCTTTTAAACGGTACCATTTCAATCATACTGCCATTTGTAGTTAATAATATAAGAGTTCTTAGAATGTGACAGACTTTTGAAAAGCCCTATATACATTTAATGATATGTTAAAAGTTGTCATGTTAAACAACATAATCCTTTTAGGTTCTTGTGTTACAAAAATTCATCTTGACTGTTAAATATTAAGAATAGCAGGATAATTAACATAAAATCAAAATACAATGTATTATAGACTTCAAACTCTAGGTATAAGCACATGAAATTTATGATTTCTAGTAATATTGGTTACATTTTTTTTTTTTGCACTGCATTAGTTTAAAAAGCAAATCAAGTTTTTATACGCAAAACTATGATACAAAGTAACCAAACAAAATGTATATTTATCCATTCTACAAAATGAAAATGAAATGAAAATTCTACAAAATGAAAATGAAATAAAAATTCTACAAAACTGAAACTTACCATCTTTCATGTGATCCACCAATTTTAGAATCATCATCTACATCTCCTCGGAATAATGTGTTTTTATTGTTTCCTACATAACGCCAAGGTTGGATGTAACTCAGCCAGGTTTCCAAAAGCTATCAAGAGAGAAAAAAAAAAAAAATTAAAATAGCTTCAAGTAACTGATTATTTTTAATTGTTCATTATCCTTTGAAATGTATTTCTTTTTTTACTATTTGTTTTGATCCATTTCGGTTACTTAGGAGTCATCTTTGTTTTGACATTGACTTATGTCCATGATAAAAAACACAAGACCATTAATATTTAATAGGTTAAAGAAGCATAGATATTTCTTCCCATTTAGACATCATCATTTCCTTATTAATGAGATAAACACACCCAAGAGAATAAAACTATGCACCACAGAAATACTCACCAATCTAAAAGATGAATCTAATGGCCACCAGTCAAATGCATGACGTAAGAATGTGTAGAGACGTTTTTGGACAATTCCAAGTACTGTGGTTCTGTGAAGACATAAATTCAATTTGGTAACTTCCAAGTAGTAAAAAAATAGTAATAAATGTTAACAACTTCTACAGTAAAATAATCTGACAGACATTTTATGCAAATCAGTGTCAAATCGGAGATTGCTTGGGAACACTGGGTACTGTAAGCAACCCCCTACAATCTGAAATATGTTTTGGTTTTAAATAACCCACAAAGGGTTGATAAGCCATAAAAAATCATGTTCTGTAGAAAAATATGAAACAAGAAAATTTTAAGTCAATACTTTTAACTAGATTTATGAATGTCAACAATTCATCATTTATTTAAAATAATTCAAATACTGATATGAAGATAGGCAGTCTAATGAGGAAATATAACCTTACATTGCAAAAAACAGAAAAGATCAGCTGTTAAGAAGGTTTTCAGGCAAATTTGCAAATGAAAAAATTTATAAAAAATAAACCATTTTTTAATTTCCTAAAATAAAATTATCCAAAATGTTAAAGTTATCAATTTTTGTTCAATACTTGGAAGGTGAAATGGTACTTACTTCTTAAACTGGTCAAGAGGTGTCAATGTTTGTTGGTAATAAGGTGAGGTAAGTATTGGTGCTGATGCACTATTCACAAAATAATGTAAATGTTTGACAAGCAAGCGAATCATTCGGATGTGATTGATGGTGGGAACATAGATCTCCTGTAAAAAGAAACGAAACAAATTAAACATATATAAAAAAAACAGGCCGAAGTTTCACAAAGAAAAAAAAATACATTCATTTGTATTGACCTGCTGCTTTCATAGAATAACAAAAAAAAGGTCACTCTTGGTAAAATTTGGTCCCTTGACTAGAGGAAAAAAAACATGGCAGCAGAAAAGAAAGATAACGTGAATTTAAGATTACTACCATAATGAGGCTTGCATTGATTAAATTAATGAGCATTTTCAACTGATTTTTTTGCATTATATCAAACTTCATAAAAATCAAAGAAAAAAAAAATTTAAGTTTGTAAAGGGAGGTAACTCTGAAAGAATAAATAACAATTATTCCCCTTTAAGAATTTATATTTGGTGTGAATAGTTGTTTATGAATTTCAAAGCCAGACATCTTTCAACCACAAAAAACGGATCGCTGCTTTTCGTTCCTCCTTGGTGCATACTATTAGCGGAGCGGCTATGTCTACTGCAAGAATAAATGGAACAGTTTTTTTTTCCACATCATAATATCAATGGTGAGTGTTAGCAATCTTTATTTATTCTCTTCTTCAAACTTTGTGAGAAAGGGCAGCTAGAATTCATACAATCTTTCTTAAATATAATTCATCATTATGCAATTAGATTTTTGTTACTTCCTCCCAGTAAGTTCAGAGTTCCTGCAATCCTTAAAATATCTGCTTTCCAATCTTTGACACTGAAAATAACCATTACTGATAAAGACAAGAGTTGCTTACAATAACTGCTTTTTGAAATGACTCTTATTAAAGTTCACAGTATATACTGGGCAACTTACCTCACTATGATGAACAATGCCAGGAGGATTGGCATTCTGCGAATTCTGATTCAGCCAAAAGTCAGAAAAGACCTTGAAATAAACAGACAAAACAGAGTAGATAAAAGCATTTCTTAATGAAAACATTCATAAATTTGATTGACATTGTATCAAAATTTCAAATCTAAATTGTTTGCCTATTCAAATAACTACTTTTAGTAGAAAATATATCCATCTTAAACACAGGAAGAGTCATAAAAATAAATTCAAAAAGCTGGCTTATAATCTTTACCTGTTTACAAAAATGGATGTTGCCAGACAGAAAGGGAAATTAGCCCTGGTGACACAGATGTCCATGTCAATTTCTATATAAGTTTACATGCGCATGTATATTTTAATTCAGTGTCACACCTAAAATTATTTGTACAATTTTTAAAAAAAACTTTAAAAAATAAATCTTTTTACTAAGAAATAACTTCCACAAAGTACAATAGAATCTGATAATTATCTGATTTTTAGGGTTTTAAAAAAAAAATTAATGTTTTTTATCTTGTATCCAAATTTAGGATTTCGTTGTTCAGACCGAGTGGAAAAGAAAAGTATTATTCCAAGGTCTTATTTCAAATTCTGTCAAATCAGTATGTGTTTGTGTGCGTATGTGTATATTTATACCTTAAATGGCAAAGTATATAGAAGTCATTCAGGCACAAAACAGACATAGATTACATATGTGCATGTAAAGTCACACAGTGTTTGATACAGCTCCTTTTTATAATATTATATATATATATATATATTTAAAGGTAACTAAATTTGCTAAAAAATGCACAAAATGTAATAAAAAATTAAAAATTCATCAAATCCTTTGTGAATAAAATCAAAGGATTTTTTTAATATAAAAATTATTTTTTTAATCCATTTCAAAACCTTGGAAATTTTGAGTATCTTTTTGCAATGAAAAAGACATTGATCTGGAAATTCTTGCAAAAATAAGATAATTGTTGGATTTTAATGAAACTTTAATAAACTTATTCAGAAATTAAACTATTTTTTAAATGTTTCTTTTTTTAGAAAATCTTTGCAAATGTTTTTTTTTAAACATCTGTTATCCCACACCATTTAATTTTGTAAAATTTAGAAATTCTTTTTTGTATTGCTTAATGCTTATGATAGTTATAAAGAGAAATCCATGGAGAATTTAAGTCATGAAATCTTATTGGTCAAAACAGGACTCTCAGTTACGGAAAATCTTTTTTTGAATTGTAAAATAAAAATACAGCAATAAAACTAAGATATTAAGTTACTAATTGCTTTTATCAGTAAAATATATTATGAACACTAGTTTTAAGAAAAAAAAAAATTTTAATGAATAATTATTTTTTTTTTTAGAAGAATTGTTTTCATTTTTTTAAAAATTTTGATTAGAATTTATAAACTTTCAAAATTCTGTATTAATTTGTAGCAGTCAAGTGATATTGTTATTAAATTAAATAGTTATTAACTAATAATAAATAGCAAAGTGCACTAGTCTCAGTATTTTGAATTTATTTTATGTGTGTATAAACGTGTCGATTTTTGCAAATACAGACACACATAGCGTTATCAGAAAATTTGCTAAAAAAAGAAGATACATGATGAAAAAAATCCATAAGTTACCACAGCAAATTTAAAATTTATTAGTAATTTTCTAACATTTTCTCAATAAGCATCTTCATAAGTAAGACTATAAAACCAAAGTACCTAAAAGTCAATAAAAAGGATTTTGAAGATAGACCCCCATAACCATATATATTCTGAAACTACATTACCCAGAGTAATTGGAGAAGTATATTTCATTTTGATACAAGGCGGATACCCCCCACCCACAAATTAAATTTTTTGCCCTCGGATTTAAATTTGAACAAGGGAATGGCTCCTATCCAAAATATAGAATGAGAAAGCCAGAAGATGGAGGTCACATCGGCAAGATCATTGAGTAATATTTAAATGCATCATTTTGATCCTCAAATTATAACATTGATTTCAAATCAATCATCATTTTCTTACAAAAAAATGTGTGATGTGCAGGTAATTCGGCTAGTACATAGTATAATGTTAAATGAGTAAAAAACAGAATGACCAACATAGTCACTGAAAAACTGTTGTTAATTCTTGGTTAAATAATAGACAGTGAATTCATTCTGTTTAGAGAGAGTCTAAAAATCGTTAGACATATAAGCATGTAAGTAAGAAGAAACATACACCTTAAATAAAAAGGTAAGTAAAATCTAATGTAATGATCGTTATTAGAATTCTGCTAACAAAATATTAATTCACCTGAATGAGAGTTTCTGAGCGCCAGGTTTCTGTTCCAGATTGGTCGAGCACAGATGGTGACTGGAAGTGCTGTTTTTGGGCCATTATTACACTCGGCTTGAGAAGATGTAATCCACTGGAAACATATTTAGGCATACCAGGACTGCCACTGGATTGTGGAATGGATCTGAAACAAAAAGTCAGCGAGCAATGTTACTCCACACAATTATGTTATTGTGGGATGCTAGTGACATTGTTGGGTATATATTTGTCACCATTATGTTGTGGGAATCAACACTTTGGATTGTAAATATTTATCAGGCTCCTGGAACATTTATCTGGCAAGCAATAAACATGGACTCAATGTTAGTCAAGGCAAAAATGAGTCACACCAACAATAAATATAAAGAAACAACAATGCATGTATTAACAAAAGAAATTAGAGGTGTAAACAATTGTAATGGAAGGAAAAACAAAACAAAACATTAAAACAAGTTATAAGAAGACTGTGCTTGTATGTGTGTGTTTATATAACAAATGAGTATGATACAGAAGTGTGTGTATATGCTAGTGTTAAGAGTGTTTTCAAAAAAAGGATCAAAGGAAAAAAGAATGTCTGTGCATGAGCAAACATGTATGATAGAGATGTATGTGTACATATCCAGTGTTACAGAGTTTAAAAGTCAAAGAAGGATCAAAGGAAAAGAATGTGCTTGTACATCTATGTCTGTGCATGTAGCAAACATGTATGATAGAGATGTATGTGTACATGTCAGTGTTACAGAGTTTAAAAGTCAAAGAAGGATCAAAGGAAAAGAATGTGCTTGTACATCTATGTCTGTGCATGTAGCAAACATGTATGATAGAGATGTATGTACATGTCAGTGTTACAGAGTTTAAAAGTCAGAGAAGGATCGAGAAAAGAATGTGCTTGTACATCTATGTCTGTGAAAAGAATGTATGTGTACATGTCAGTGTTCAGAGTTTAAAAAGTCAAAGAAGGATCAAAGGAAAAGAATGTGCTTGTACATCTATGTCTGTGCATGTAGCAAACATGTATGATAGAGATGTATGTGTACATGTCAGTGTTACAGAGTTTAAAAGTCAAAGAAGGATCAAAGGAAAAGAATGTGCTTGTACATCTATGTCTGTGCATGTAGCAAACATGTATGATAGAGATGTATGTGTACATGTCAGTGTTACAGAGTTTAAAAGTCAGAGAAGGATCAAAGGAAAAGAATGTGCTTGTACATCTATGTCTGTGCATGTAGCAAACATGTATGATAGAGATGTATGTGTAAACATGTTTAAAAGTCAGAGAAGGATCAAAGGAGATGTATGCGTACATGTCTGTGCATGTAAGTGATAGAGAGTTTACAAGTGTTCAAAGAAGGATCAAAGAAATCAAAAAAGCAAACAAGCCTAGTCGGCAGTATTCCTATCTCCATCTAACTACATCTGAGAGCCAGAGCTAAAAAAACAAAAAGAGGGCAAGTGAGAATATTATTGCCTACTTATAGGCTTAAAGAGCGCCCTCTAGCAAAGCATTTTGGCAAAGACGAGTGGGATAACAGACAACATAATGTTCAATCAACAAGTATAATTGATTTTTATATCTCATAGATAAATTGGTAAAGGTGAGTTTAAAATCTGCAACATAACCAAGCCATAGCCAGGGAGACAAAAACTATTGCATTGAAAAACAAATCAAAAGAAAATTTCAGGCCATGTCCAAGTGAATATTGCAGACATTGAAGTTCTTGGATAAATTCCTCAAAGATGAAGAAGAGGTTTGATTTACTGACTGATCTGTTTTTTACGACATATCAATCTTCTGTCGGTTTTTTTTAAAGCCAAAGCATATTTTTAAATCATAGAAGACTATTTTTTGGTGAGTGAATATTGTATTAACAATTTTTGGAAGATAATAATGATTTTCAGACACAAGTTAAATTATTTAACCCATAGTTTTGGGGGAGAAGACATGCATTCTTACCTTTCTCAAGGATATCTGTCCATAAGTAAATGTAATGAATCTGGCTGGCATTCAAACTTTTGATTTCTTAGTCTTTATCTATTACATCACCCGCACATCCAAGCTTACAGCACTTGATATTCCCAAGTGGTCACCTATGTACAGTACGAGTCAAAAAAATGAATGCACGCATAGAAAGTCAGTCCTGATATTAACTAAACTGTAAACCTTTGAGTAATCAGAAGATGAACTTTTTCGCTGGAAAAAAAGAAATTCTGTAAAAATCTGGCGAAGGACATTGACTTACTAAAGAATTTATTCTATAGCATGCCACAAAGACTTAAGGCTGTTATTAAAGCAAAAGGCTACCCAACAAAACTTGTATAATGTACACCTGTATTAATACAGTGTTGATAAATGAATTCTATTACACACTTGTATTGGTAAAAATACAAAAAAAAAAATCGACTTTCTATGGGTGCTTCCACGTTTTTGCCTTTATTGACCAGGATCGACGTAGTTTAACTTCAGTGATTGGATAGTTACTGGTGTTTCAATGGAATACAGATAAATGTCCAATTGCAAGCACACTGTGTATTTAATTATGTACAAATTTGATACAACCAGTTCTAACAAAAATCATGTTTTTTTTTTGTTTTGAGATATTTGTTCTTATAAGCTTTCCAATTTTCAAAATTATAAAGTGGCTTTGTTTTTCCTGGATACATTCTAAGCTGAAAATGAAATACCTTTCTATGATGATGTAAAACAACTTACATTTTGCTCTGTGGGTGGACAACCATACTACGAACTGGAGACGGTAAAGGAGGCATGGGTGGCGGCTGTTGGTCAAGAGGCAGAAAATAGTCTAAATAATCCTCAACTAGGGTTGGATAGAGGTAAGCAGCAAAATGGCCCCAAACTGGAGTATTCTGCCTGGATTTGCGACTGACCAGCATATATGAGAAATGAAACAAGTACAGTTCAAAAGGATCTAAGAATGCAGTTAAGGTAAAAAAGGGACAAATGAAAGAAGCATCACAAAAAAACATCAAACTTAATTCATTTCATTTCAATACCTCACAGATAAACTGTTTCTCTAACTTATAAAAAGTCAATACTATTTCAACAAGTTCTGCCTATTTTTCTCCTTTAAAGTTGAACTAAGGTCCTCACTTTTGTGATTATCACAATCTTTTGATCAATACACTTTCTGGCCATCATCAGGTCTCTGTTGATTTGGGTAAATAACATTAAGGGGAGTGATCCATACATTTTACCATCATCCCAGAATTGTCCCAAAATTGAATGGTTTTTCTCACCTTCTTAAAAAAACTGAATTGTTGTTTTTCTCACTTTCTTAAGAAATCAAACTGTTTTTTTCTCACTGTTTTTGATTTTGGGACAATTCTGGGATGACAGTAAAAAATGTTAGCCAGTGTTTTTATTATGCTAACTATAATAAAGACACAGTTAAAATATTTTGGAAATAAAAAAGGTAAAAATTACAGTAAAATTTAACTAACCAGTTCTTGTATTATTCATTTTTTAAAACTTTAATAATTTTAAAAATGAAAATATACAAAAACAAATTACAAGAGAAATCAAAACTTATCTACACTTTCGCTATAAGATATCTGTAGGCAAGAATGCAGATAATTTTTGATTTTCCCCTCGTAGTTAAATTTCACTGTAAATTTTATTAAAAAATCTCGATTTTATTTTTATTTAAACATTTCTGCTAAATCACCTAAAGAAATGTTTGTATTAATTAATTTCATTACTCAGAGTAACTTTTATTGTACTTTAACTTAAGAATTGTTCTATATAAAGAATATTAGTGTGTGGCAACTGTTTACCATGAAAACCGTTTTTGAAGTCTTTATAAAAAACAAAAGCTTGTCTGGTCCTGTCTATTCATGTTTTTAATAAAAAAAAAGAAAAAAAAATTTAATCTTTTTGCTTTGTTTATTAAAGCAAAATTAATCCTTACAATTGTTTCCAAACACTTTTCACATTTCAACATAAATAATACAAATATATAAATTTAAGCCAGCCAATCATAATTTTTCATTTGGCTTTCATTCACTAGTTAAGAAAGAAGCGCTTCATGTTTTGCATATGTGTGATACATTAAAATGATATTTAACATTTTCACACCAGAGTAGAGTTAATAATCTGTTTGAAATTTAGTTTACCACACATCCCAAACATAGAAGATCTAAAAAATCTACAAAATAAGTTTTAATCTACTAGAATAAAATTTTCTAAAAAGAATAATTAAAAAAAAACTTACAAAGAAAAAATAATTAGGTTTTAGCTGACCTCATAAACTAAACCAATTGTAATTACTCCCAATAATTTAGCAATATATTATTTCAGACACATTCTCAAAATGAATAAATAAATAGAAATACTGGAAAAAAAATGAAACAAAAAAAACAAAAACAACTGATCCTTTAAATATTGCCAGCATATCTTAAGTAAAAATAAAGCAAAGACTATTATAACACTTTAATATCTAGAATACTATGGGGGCGGATGTGACAGGTACTGGTTATAGGTGGAAATCTATTATGGATAGGAACAATTTTTTCTTTTCTTTTTTTTTATAACCTATAATTAATACCAGATTTTTATTTATTTACTTATGTTTTTTTTTTAATCATTACATACCAAGCAAGGTAATAAAGCCACTTAGATGCAAGGGATTACTGAGTGTTAGAGAATATGAGAAAAATATAATATTAAGGAAAGAGAGGACAATAAAAGAATAAGAATTAAGAAGACAAATGATAACGATGGACATTGCATTTAAATTTTTGAAGATCAAAGCTGGAAAAGAGTTCCACAAACGAGAAGTGCAATAGAAGAAACTGATAGCATAGAACTTACACTTGTATCGATCCATTTCTATTGTATAATGTTGCCAATCTAGAACTATGCTTAAATTTCTAAAGTCTAGGTACCATAGAGGCAAATTCATCAGAATAATTAGCCTTAAAGTATTTATAGAAAGGGTACAGGGAACCTATGTTATGACGCTGGGAAACTGACTAAAACTAAGATGCCAGTTCAGGACCAATAACAGTGCAGATTCTTTTTTGAATTTTATCAAAAAAATCTCTAAATATACAGCAGGAACAACAGACCAGATGTGACAGCAATATTCAAAGCAAGGAAGAATGCTAGACTTATAATATATAATAGACGAGTACAGCATGATAATAACGGCCTTAAGCTTGACGAAAACAAAATTTTATCATCACAATGTTTATGTTACTATTAAGAGGAAAGAACAAAGTCATTTTTAATTATTTGCTAAGATGTTTCTGTCTTTATTAGAACATTCTAACTTTTGATTGAAAAAAACCTTGTTTCTTTTCATTAGTGGAACTTCTAGTAAATAACATAGCAATTTTTTTTTGCATTTTTTTTATGACAGTCATTAATTTTGAAAATCTGACAAAAATAAAAATAATTGTCAGATTTTAATGAAACTTTCTAAAGCTATTCTCAATTGAAGGAAATTATCATATTTTTTTTTTTATTTTTTTTTTTTTAAAGTCCTGGTAAATTTTTTTTTTTATATTTATTACCCACCCCATAATTAATTTTATGAAAACTCTTAAAATTTAACTGTACATTTTTAGTGACTAATTAGTTAAAAGCACAAGTATATCATGTTTTGTTTGTTTTTTTAGTTGACACTCCTCTACCTTAAAATCAGCTCTGAACTGTGACATACAAAACTCAATAAAACAAAGATATTATTTAATTTCAAAAGTTTTTAGTTTTTTTTTTACTTGTTTTTATGAATATGGATAATATTGTCTGAAAGCAAAATACGTTTTCGATGAAAAATAAATTTTTACAACAATTATTTGTTATTTCTTAAATTATTCTATTTTTTTCACATTAAAGTTGTTAAATATTCTAAAATTAATGAAAATGCTGTACAGTTCAGACGATGGTGTTATTAAGTAGATATTTATCATTACAGATTATAAATTGTAAAGCTGGTTAAAATCAGCAAACCCCAAATAGATAAAAATCTAATATAACATGTTTTTTTAGGTTCATAAAATGGCCGTAATTCAAATATATGGAAGACTGAAAGCATCATGAAAAGAGAGAAAAAAAATTGTATAATATTTCAAATGATAAGGGTACCTACAAAGTATTATGTACCTATCTTATGAAACTTATATAGTCTTATTTTTATATTACCTCAGTTATGACATTTTTCCATAAATGAAATATCGAAATTAATGAGTGTAAATATAAATAATATCGTAAAATGTAATAAATTTATATTAAATTATGTACACTTAACCTTTCATAAGAAAGGTCCCTAATTAATTTATGTACCTTTCTTATGAAATTTTATCTCACTCACAACAGTTTTGTTTAAAATTTGTTTAAAAAACAAAAACAAGGTAAATAAGTTGGTTCAATAAAAAGCTAAATTATATCACTTCTGTCCTTCTGTACGATAACTTTTCCTTGAGTATGCTGTCAATATGTACTGAAAGCATCAATCATCACAGTTGCATGTCGCCACTGTCAAGACCTGCTGTCACTTGTTTTGAAAATACATTTTTTCGGCGCATTAAGTTAGAAATGTTTGTTTTAAAATATATTAAATAAACATCAAAATTTCTAATTTTGTTAAAAATAAATTTTTAAAAAATATAATTGATTTTTGACAAAATTTGAAATGGAAAAATTAACTTTTGTTTATAAAATTGAAAAATTTTTATCTCATTTTTCCAACAATCTTATGCCAGTACCTCCTTATAAATATGTACGATAGATTCTGGTGTCATAACTTTTATAATTAATAGTAGATGTTTGGTGCACATTAATGGGTAAAAAAAATTTGATCAGAAATTGTCGATAACATCCTTTGATTTGAAGGCTCAAAAATTACATGACAAGGTACATAACTCTCATTTTCATATGAAGAATTGTCTCCCTTGTAAACGCATTGTTAAGTGCAACATTAAAAATCAATTTTAAAAGGATATTAAGCGAGAGATAGGGACGACCAAATGCCTGAAGCTGTAGTTTGTTGGCATAAAACCCAGGAATAGCTCCTTCCTCAATTAAACGCTGTGTTGGTACCTAAAATATAGAAATAATTAAGACTAAATTATTTGAAGCAATGTCGAAAATATAAAAAAGAAACATTATTTTGCATTATCAATTACTCTATACATCAAGAGAGACTTACTTTTTGAGGTTAGATATTTAAAATGCTGACTGCAGCCAACTAGATGTAATTTTCACAAAGTATAGGCTATAGAAAAAAAAATTCCATTAATATTTTTGTTGTACAAATGGTAAAAACTATTAATAAAAACTTAATCATTTATTTTCAAATTGAGCTACAAACTTAAAAGAATTTGTCAGAATTTCTGGATGAGGAATTATCATTATTTAGATGTCGACTATTGTCCTCGTATTTGTTATCACAACATTTTGGCCATTGTACACTCTATCCTTCAATATACACCTGATCAAGGCCAGAAGATACAACTACCAAAACCATATAATAACAACAAAGATGAAGACAATACTCTACATGTAAATAATGCGAACAAAAGAAAATTGTAATAATACATGAGATATTTTTCTTGAAAAAAGGAGAATAGACTAAACATTTCTCTAATGGATTTGCTATGGCACAGAGTAAATGATGTCACGAGCATAGAATCTGGCAATTTTATCCTTCATGTATTGATTGATGGATTTGTTTTCTACGGCTTTGCAGGTTATTTAAAGCCAGAAAATATTTCTAGATTGTAAGAATTGTAGAAACTTTGCACACTTGCCATAGCGAAACTCAGTGGAAGGGGAAAAAATGAGGGAATTTAACTGTAATCTTGTGACAAAAATATAATGAAAGATATGATTTCTTCTTCACAGAAAATTTATTGAAATGAGTTCCAGTCGATGCCACATCTGATTGAAGGGGAGTCAAAATTTGCATATATGTCTGAGGAGAGATATAAAATGCAAAAATAGTTAGTCAAAGGCAGTTGCTGTATTTTTTTCTTCCTTTGTTACGACCATGTTTCCGCTTTCAAAGCTGACTGGACGTGTTACTGAAACTGTTAATAAAAGTGCTCTTTATTTTCTATCGTTACTTCTACAAGGAGAATTACCTGTAGGGAAACACAGTGTTTTTTTTTTGCAACGATTGCCACCATGAGATTACGCCAGTAACAAGTAAGAATTCGTTATCATTTTTCTTTCTTTCTTTGCCGAGTTTCACTTTAAATGCTAATAGTTACCATTATAATTTTCTACCTTCCCTTTCCCCAGTCGGACTTGAAATCCCAACAGAATCTTGATTTTGAGATAACAGTTTAGTGAAACAAGTCTTACTAATTAACTCATGGAGGAGAAGAGGAGGGTTCATACATTTCTCAAGAATATTTGTGTCTAAGTGAATATAAGGAGCCTAACAAGACTTGGAACTCGGCTCTCCAATTAACAATTCTGAGCCATTATCCATTATACCACGACAAGCTTACAGCACCTGGTATTACCACAGACAAGTTGTAATGCAAGTTAAATATCTGGAAACAAAGACTGCCATTGTCATTACAGCAAAAGCATGTACAACATGGATAAGAAATAAGTGTACGGATACATGATCTTTCTAGGCATTGGTGAAAGGGAAAAAATAAAAAGGAAACAAAAGCATTTACAATTATTTACTTACAGGAAGACATCGCAATGGAAATTCATATGTGAGATAAGGGTCAGCCTGTAACCTGTAAACAAGCTTTAGCAAAGGTCCCGTTGGAGAGAGAAATGCTTGGCCATATTCGTATTCATCTGGTGTGGTTGTTTTGTTTATATACTCCAAATCCCAGCCTGGTTCATTCCCAAACCCAAACATACTTTCCAAGAGTGTTGGAAATATATGTTGAGCTTCCTGAAAATATGAGGAAAAAAAAAAAAAAAAAAGATTTCAGAAAGGAGTTTGAAAAATAAAAATGTGTCAATATTTGAATCATCAACTCGTCAAATGACGATCAAAAAATCCAGTATTAATCATATATTACTAAAAAAATAAAACAACATTATGCGGGTAATTTCAAAAGAAAATAATAGAAATTTATATTATAATAAAATCTAAAAGAATGTGAGGATGAAATGTCTTAACTAATTTAAGTCTATGGATCAAATAATACAGCATCTTAAAATTTGATGGAAAAATCCAAGGCTAAAAGTTTTAGGAAATTTGCAGACATATTAAATATGAATCTAAGTTTAATATTAAAAAGAAAATATTCATTATTTAAAAAAGTAGTAAAATTTTATATATAAAGGAATCAGCTAAAAAAATAACTAAGATTCATGCAAATTTCTTTTGGGAGTCTATCCTTCATTATATAAATAACATTGATTTTTCTTTCCTAAAAACTGGATATAAACACAGATTGTAAACAAATTAAAGATCATATGACATCATAGAGCTGACTTTTTACATTACCTTGGTACTAATGTTGGTAATGATGACCGTGACATGTTCAAATCTTTTGAGAGGCGGCTTCAAGACAGCATTCTGAAGTTCAGCCTAAAATAATAGAAGAAAAATCTCAGTAATCAAAGAAAACCATTCTCAAGCTTTTAGTAAGAATTATTTCACTAAAAATTTTAAACACTAACGTTTATGAGCGAATAAGAAAATACCTCTTTTCGAAACATTTCCTCCAAACTGTTACCTTGAAGAAACTTATTGTAAGAAAAAAAAAGAAGAAAGAAAAGGCTTGGTTATATATATATATATATATATATATATATAAGCAGTTATCAGCATTGAATGGCAACAATCTATTTCATGCTGAAATGCAATCATCAGGCCCAACAACTGCGATTAAGCATAAAACAGACTGTTGCCATTCAGCGTTGATACCCATGACAACATTGCTTATATTTACATATATACTCTATTCTAGATATGAAGTACTTTTCTCCAATAAATAAGTTCTTAAAACTACATTCTAACACATACACACATACATTTGAAAGATAGTCTTTAATGTGCTTAAATCATTAATGACCCAGATTCTAATTGCTTATACACATACACACACACACACAGTGCAATGGATAAGTTGTCATTTAAATTATACAAAAAATGAAATAACAATGACATCACATTTTAACAGATATATTTACCAAAATTTCACAACTGCAGATTATAGTTGGAGTGTCTGTGTCCCTGGCTATGGACCTGATTGATTTGGAAAGATCATTGTCAATCACAGCCTGGATCTCACCAAGAAATTCAGTTCTTTTCTTATCAGAATGATCAGAGTGACTTTTCAGAGCTGATGTACCTTTGTAATCACCATTAGACTCATCCAACTCTTTCTGAATCCTCTGCACTGTCCTCAGATTGATAACCAAACACTCTGAAATCTTTGTATTGGAGCTACTGGTGCAAATGCCAAGCAGTATAGCATGCTGTTTCCAAATTTCTGGCAAAGTGAATTGTATTATTGCGTTCTTTTTCTCACAGACAGTGCCCAACTGACCCTACTATACACTGCAGTTGACAAAAGCTAAAACAATGTGCATGCATGAAATTAAAAATATAGCATGACGACAATTTACCCATTGCATCCTATATATATATATATATATATATATATATATATGTGTGTGTGTGTGTGTGTGTGTATGGCTTCACAAAATCTGTTGAAAATATGTATTGAAAAATAGTGAAATGATAAAAAAAGGCTATACTAGTTATTAGCATGACTAATATCTTAAACAAAATGTCATATATTGTAAGTTGTACTTGAAAAGTTGAAATGAAAAATATCAGCAATGTTGTATACATTTTATTTGATTATTTTTTAATTGTTTTTCCTTGATTCATTAATTTTTTTTATGATTTATCAACCCTTTGCAGGTTATTTAAAACCAGAAAATATTTCTAAATAGTAAGAATTTTGTGGGTGAGGAGGTAATAATGGTTTAGTGATACGAGTCAAATTAACCCATAGCTGGGGGGGGGAAAGAGGTAGATTCATACCTTTCCCAAGAATATTTGTGTCTAAATAAATATAAGAAAAGCTAACAGGAATTGGAATTTGGCTAACTGATTAACAATTCGAAGCCATTATCCATTACACTACACAATCCATCCAAGCTTACAGCACTTGGTACTCTTAAGTGGTCACCCATCTAGGTACTGACCAGGCTTGAATTTGCTTAACTTTAGTTACAATGGTGAATAAACAAGCAAAAATAATAGACCATTATAAAAGTTGTTTCACTGCCATCTAATTATTATTGTTTTAAATGGATTTTTAAAATGCTTCATTTGAATGAATCAATTCACAAATGATTATTTCAAAATGAAAAGATAAAGATGGTGAAATCAAAATAAATTTGTGATAAACTACATAGGCAGTGATGAAAGTTTAATTTAAAGGTTCTTTGAAATTTTAAAAAGACTCCAAATCATATACTAGTATAGCTGGCCACTCGTATTTGAGGATACCCCTCTACTAGGGCGGCTAGCCAATCCCTATTGCAGACACTTGCTCAGGCGAATTTGTGTTTTTATTCAACACCTGCAAAATCAACCTGGGGTTTATACTGCAACTATACTGAACAGACTCTAGTTACAGTTTCTGGGAAAGAGCATGTTATCTGGCTTGATCAACAGTTTGAACAAGTCCAGCATGCTCAAGCTCTCAGCCACAATGACTTGTGACTTCATGTTAGCACAGATAGCAACCAACCCCAAGGTTCTGTCTATCCAATTTTTCACAACGCATGGGTCAAACTGTGGCATGGTTTTCAGGTACTTTCTAAAGTCTGATAACATTGGGAAGTTACCTTCCTGACAAATCGACCCTGGTTAGAATGCGAACATTCTAACCATTCAGCCACATGCCCATATTCTAATAGTCTTTTAATAAAACCACAAATTCAAACTCTACAATGATTTTCATTCAGAATGAAATAAGTTTGAGCAAGAGGATACACATTTTATATTCTCTTTGTCATTTTATATCATGTTGATTATATTATGAAATGTTGGCAATACCATAGGCAATTTCAAATTCGTGGTCACTGCTAGTTGATCATATACCTTTTAGAAATTGTGAAACATTAATTCACGATAAGGTACATGCAGTGTATGTAGCCAGTATGTGGCAAATCATTTCCCTTATTAATTTTTCTCAAAAGCACATTTCTGAAAAGAATGTCATATTTGAACACTGAAAAATAAACTACATAAGATAAATGCATTTACATAAAAAAAGCCTGTTATTAAATACTGAAAATGATCACTGTTATTTCTAAAAATTTAATTTATTCAAAAGTAGAAAAGCTAATTTCTATTAATAACATGTTAGAAACTGAATGAAAAACATTAACACAATATGCCCATTGTTAGATGAGATATTGTCATCAATATTTTTAAAAGTTTGGAAGCTTTTTCAGTCTCTTTTACTATTATTAACTCACTGACATTTTTTAGGCTTAGACAAAAAATTTAATATACACTATTCTTATCGGCCTGCATATGTAAAAGTAAGTATATTCAATACTTTGCTAAAAAAGGGGACAACTCTGAAGAAAAAAGGCCCCAAACTTGATTAAACAATTTTTTATTGTCTAAATGTTTATGTTATTATTAAAAAGAAAGACCAAATTATTTTTTGAACATTTTTTAAAATTTCTTAATCCTTTGCAGCATGTCCGAAATTTTAGTTAAAAATTTTGTTTTTTTTTGGAGGCATCAAAATTTACATAAAATCAATCATATCAATCATTTTTGATAATTTTGTAAACAAATTTTGACAAAAATAAAAAAAACCTGATGATTTATATTCTTTAAAGTCTTCTGCATTTAATTAAAATATTACAGAGATGCGCATATTTGATTTTAAAATTTAGTAAAGGGGTGGTTCAGATGTGAAAATTTTTTTTTTAAAAAGACAAACATTTCTAAAATTATAATTTCGTTCATTTTTAAATAAGTTCTGAAAATTTCATTAAAATCCAATAATTTGATTTTTGCAAGAATTTCTAAATTAATGTTTTTCGACTGAAAAAAAGGACTAAAAAAAAAACAAACAAACAAACAAAAAACTAATGCTAAATATTATGCGATCACTGATGTAAAAATTTTAACAAGATTTTCATCCAAAATTTCAAACGTGCTAGAAAGGAATAAAATTTTTTTAAAAACAACTAAAATTACTTTGGTCTTTCCTCTTATTAATAACAAACTTTTTCACGATAAAACTTTGTTTTTATAAAGTTTTGGGGCCTTTTTTCATCATGCCATGCTGTTTTTTCAGCGAATTATTAAATGATTCTGATTGTGGCCAGTCTGTGATTCAACATTTGCTGTCCAAATGTTTCAGTTCAAATTATCATTACTACTTATTGTTTATCATGTTTTCATTTCAAAGTTTGGACACAATTTTGCCATATATCTTTTCTTAGGAGTAATTCCAATTTTCTGTTCACATACACAAGAATTCACAGATTCGGAAATAGTTCTAAGGTACCTCCATGAGATTGCTAAAAAGAGCATAGCATGATGAAAAAGATACCAAACTTGATGAAAACAAAATTTTATCATCTAAATGTTTATGTTATTATTAAGAAGAAAGATCAAAGTATTTGGGGGGTAATTTTTTTTACAAATTTGTTTTACAATTTTTAATCGTTCCTAGCACATCTGAAATTTTCATTAAAAATTGTTTTTTCTTGAGTCAGCAAAATTGACAGATAATCATGTGGACCATTTTTTCCATTTTATAAAAAAAAAAAGAAGAAAAATCTCAGTTTTAAATTCTTTTAAAAATCAATTATAATTTTTTAAAAACTTATTTTAATAAAATTAGAAATTATAATGTTTAAAATATTTTAAAACAAGTATTACTTAGTTTCTGTGCCAAAAAGAAGTAGTTTAAAAATAAAACAAAGCATGTCATAACATTTCCCGTCACTTGACAGGTGATGTGTGATGATTTCATCACGTATTGACAGCTTACGTGAGGAAACATTATTGTATGGGAGGATAGAGTGCCATAACTATTTAGATTTAAATGAACAAATTATTTACCTCATTAGTTTTAAGGTAAACTTTTAGTGCTCTAATTTTTTTTTTTACTTAGCTTTCACCTTTACAATTATGATGCTTTATGGAAAATATATTATAAAAAATTAAAATAAAAATGTTGAGAGTAAGATTAAATTTCATAAGAAAGGTATCTAATTAATTTATAGGTACCTTTCTTATGAAATTTTATCAGAAGTGTACATAAAATACTATAATTTTATGTACATTTATTACAGTTTACTGTGTTATTTGTATTTCCATTCATTTTATTATTAATTTTGATATTTCATTTATGGAAAAATGTCATAACTGAGATTAATATAAAAATAAGATCATATAAATTTCATAAGAAGATACTAATACTTGTAGGTACACTTCTCAGTTGAATTTGAAAACTCAAATTACCTTCTCCACATGTTTCACAAAAATATAGGCTCTAACAGCAGAGAACAACGCTTAACTCAATGCGACTAAATTGCATTCTTGCTGGTTTTCCGTACTTTTTAATTACAGCCATTTCTAAACACAACATTACATTTCTTAATTAGTGAGGGTCTTCTGATTGATTGAAACGATACAACTTACAACGCTGTAAAAAATGATCTATCTCATAATACTATTTATGAAACGGAATGCGGTTTTCAACTAATTTTATAATATTTTAACAACTTAAATGTAAAAATCTAAAATAATTAAAGAAATAACAAATAATTGTATTAAAAATTCATTTTTCTTCGAAAAAGTTTTTTGCTTTCAGAAAATATTGTCCATATTCATAAAAGCAAATAAAAGTATTTGAAATTAAAAAATATCTTTGTTTTATTGAGTTTCGTATGTTACAATTCAGAGCTGATTTTCAGGTAGGGGGGAACTAATTAAAAAAAAAAAAAAGATTTGGTTTCCTCAAAGCCTTGTGCTTTTAAAACTAATACAATCACTAAACTGAACAATGTTGAATTTCTAGAGTTTTCAATAAATTGGTAATAAATATAAAAAAAGTATTTTTGCCATGACTTTAAAAAAGAAAATATATTTAATTTCCATCATTTGTGCATAGTTTCTGAAAGTCTCATTAATATCCGACAAATATTTTTATTTTCGCAAGTTTCATAGAAAAAAGAAAAACGTGCTAAAAATTTGTTATATTTACTAGTTCCGCTGATACAAAGAGAAACAAGGCATTTTTTTAAAAATCACAATGTTCTAAAAAGAAGGAAAAAATTTTTTTAAATAATTAAAAAATACTTTGGTCTTTCCGCTTAATAATAACATAAACATTTAGACGATAAAATTTTGCTTTCGTGAAGTTTAGCGTCTTTTTCATCATGCTATGCTCACTTTTAGCGATCTCATGGAGGCACATAAGGTTGTCCTTAGAATGTTTCTTTTAATTAATACGAACAAAGTTTCTTCCAAACATGAAAATAAAAGGATATTTCATGGAAAGTGGGCGACTGCTGAAAATCTTAACGGTAAAATTTAAATATTTGTGCTTTCCTGTCTAGAAGATGGCGATAACTAATAACAATGATCGTAAAAAAAAAAATTATTTTTTAAAATAAATAAATCCATTTCAACTAACAGACAAAAAGCAAAATCAGTGGTTGTTGAAGCTTCAACAGACGTTATTAATTGAATCATTATTGGTACAAAATAATTATAAAAGTTAAAATGAAACCTTTTTAATTCCTTGAAATGTTTATCAACGAAACTCACGCTCGCATGACTAGGGAGAATTCATCATAAAGAGTTTAGGAATTAAATCAGAAAGATATCCATTAAAATGCAAAAAAACATATAAATGAAGAATAAATAGGTTCTTAAGCTTAAAAAGAATTCAGATATCTCATAAAATATAAATATTTGAATACTTACTAAAACTGATAAAGATCCACCGGCGCTAGCCGCCATTTTCAAGTAAGCAGTAAATTTATCTCCGTTAAAGGAGATTTACAAAATTTGCTAATAAGGGAAGAAACTTTTTTAAATAATAGATAAAGTTATTTCCCTTGAAAAATAAGATCCTTTCAAGAATTTAAAATAATTTTCAAATATATTGAAACCATTTAAAGCATTCTGTAAGAATCTTTTATAATTCTAATCTGTATCACACCATGCAAGGCAGTAAAGCCACTGATTTGCTTTTAAACACTTGCTGAAAATTTCATTTGCTATATCTGAAAATATAAAATAGAAACTGAAAGTAAAATTTCTATATCACTTTTCTGATATTTGGTCACCGAAAAAAATGAACTTTAATGTTGGACGATAACTTTTCAATACCCTGTCGTACTAAATGTTTTTTTAAACAGCACTCCAAATCATATGTTAATAGTTTATTAATTAAAACACAAATTAAAAATCTACAACGATTTTCATTCAGAATGAAATCAACTTGATATAAAAGGAGAAAGATAATATATAAGGTTGGCGATATCATAGCTAATGAGGATTTTCCGAGAAGTGGTTATTGCTAGTTGAAAACATTGTTATTTCATTTAAGAAATGCTAATAAGCAAAATACTTTTTTTATTTAGTTATTCAGCAGAAACGAAGAATGAGTAACCTGGAAAGCAGAACTTGTAGCTGTTGTCATTTCTGCTAAAGAGGTTAATTTCTTCTTCGCCTCAGCAAACGTAAATTCGAGGAAAAAGGAATACGTGTTATTTTGGGTAAATAAATGCATAATTTATTTACATATATACAAAGCCAGCATACTATTCGGCGCCGTTGTAAAAGGCGACAGAGTCGGGAAGGAATAAAGAAAGAGAAATAATGTTGGTCATGGCTGGCGGCTGATGTTTTGTAAAGACGGTGGCGTTTTCAGTCTCAGTCTGTCTGCGGCGTTCTTGACAAACCTCTGCGTGTTGACATCTCAGTCGGGTCTCTCTTTCTCTCTCTCGCTCTATCTATCTATCTATCTATCTCTGTTGAATCAAGAAATTTATACCCGTCGTATCGGCTCCAAATCACAGTCCGTGTCTTTTAGCGGGAGTTATTTCTACTAGTCAGTATATAAAGTTTTCTCATTTAATACGCGTTTTAGCATTCTGCCCTGGGTCGTCGAGAAGTCAACATTAGTGTAAGAAACAAGACAATATCTATTACAAATACATTCCCCGTAACATAATTTTAGTTCAGTGGGCCACATTAATATAAACTAAATATGGTGATAAAAATAAATTTATGAACTCCTTGGTAGTTGTACTGTATTCGAACTCTTGACGTAGCGAGATTATAAAACTCTCGGGAAAACGAGGCGTAAAAAGAAGAAAAAGACTAACATGGCGGACATTATATATCTGTATATCACTGTAAATAAAGTCTCTTGCTACCCGTTAACTTCGCGTTATTCATCTCAGCGTGTTAGACAGATAGTCTTCCAGGGTAGGTGTCCAAAACTATATAAAAAGTAATGATTTTGAATCCCAATTTTAAAAGACGTCAAGTCCTATTCATTTTAAAAATAATATTCCTATCATAATTAATCTCTGTCTAGTGTTATTAGTTACTCATCTACGTGTATTAAATATTAATAAAGAAAGCTTCAAACTCAAAATCCGATTATTACGCAGATTGGTGAGGATTTAGTACTTTTTATTATTACGGAGAAAACTATTAAAAGGTAATTAAAATGGCGGAAATTCATCAACTATTTAAAAATACATCAAAGGGAAGGAAGAAAATATTGAAAGTCTACGCGAACAGTCATTTTGTGACGCAAATAATAATTAGAAAAATAATGGAAACTGAAGAAAATATTAACTATAATTGGATGATGATGGAGCTTTAGTTTTTTGTGGGATTACCACTGCTGGCTTAAAATTGCAAGTAGTGCGAATTCTGAGAGCCACGCCTTTATTTTTTTTTTTAAGTCGACCATGTGAGCGACACGTCTTTTTTGAAATTCTTGCAACATACGCGGCATGTTAGTAATTTATGACTTCAAAAACATCAGCTGAAGACAATGTCAAACATTCACGTTCTTTTCTTTCCTTTCAATTCCGTAAACATGTTTTGTCAACACATTTTATTATTATTTCTTTTGAATTAATTTTTGTTTCTTATTGTCATGTATTTACGGCCTCATCACGTTGAAACACCGATTCTCGTACGATCATCGAAATTAAGCAACGTCGAACCTGATCAGTAAGTAGCTAGGTAATTTGGAATAGCAGGAGCTCTAAGCTTGGATGTGTACGTGGTGAAATGGATAACGCCTTGGAATTGAAATTCGAAGAATATAGTTTCAATTCCAGTCATGTTCGCTAAATTCAGTTACTTACTTTTGGGGAAGTTATTGTTATTTTAACCACTCCTATGAAGTGCTCCTAGAGGACGCTCTTCGGACTATAAATACTCTGTGATATTTTTTCTCACTCTCTTCACAATTTTTCCACTTACTCTCAGCATGTAAATCTCTCGCGGAGAACGCGCTCCCTTCCGGAAACGCATGAACTAACCGCACACGCACAACACACGTACGAATGTACGCACATTCACCCACTTCATATAAGTGGAACCCAAACTGTTTTCACATTCATATGTTATATACATTATCGTCTTTGTAACTTGTATACCTTTATTGTTAATACATTATCATTTGCGTGTACATATATATCTACGTTTTCTCGCCGTCCAAAATAAGGGTTAATTATTGGGACTTGCATCAGTTGAACACTATTATCTACCCACAAAATATGATTTCTTACAATCTAAAAATATTTTCTGGCTTTAAATAAACTGCAAAAGTTTAATCAGCCGTAAAAAGAAATCAACGAATTAATTCTTATCGCCATGAAATATAATATTGAATTGTTCTATCAAGCTGCTGCCAATGTTATCCATTTCATTAGGTCTTGTGTACTTATTTATTAGGTAGTGGAATTTGGTACTATTAGTCAGAACCATAAGACGAATTAAGCACAGAATAAAATGAGGATGATGAATGACTAAATAATGAACCACTCACCACCCACGTTAGCGTTAAATTCAAACACATCCTCTTTTTCTTGCAACGCATTAATGTTCCAGCTACCAAGAAAACTGACTTCCATTAAATACCACTCGTGTCCAATGGACACATTTCTATTTTTTAAAAACTTTCAAACTGTTTGCATTTTTTAAATAATATTAGGTATGTATAATTATAGATGGAAAAAGAAATAACAATTTTAATAAAAATTTATTCATTGAAACAGAAAAATTACAATACATCTTTGTATTTAGTTTGGAACTATAAACTTAATTCAAAAAATTACAATTATAAACTTAGTTTAAAAAATTACAATTAATCGCTTCATTTTTCACAGAATACTTTCAAATGGCTTTGGCACACATGTTTTTGGTAAATATAACAGACAGGTTGTGTTTTTTTTATCCATTTTAGGACCATACAAAATGCATGTTTTTCTTTCTCTCATTGAATGGTTCCTGGACAATGTATTGCTCACTAGACACGAATTCCTTCAGCATTTTTTTTAATTATTTCCAGGAAATTAAGGTTCATGAACAGCGTAAATGATGAAAGAGCTGAATCACAAGATCTTTACGCAAAACGTGAAGGTCCAGACTTTTGATGGAGTTCTTCCTTGTGTTCTTTCAACTGGTTTAGAAGACCAAATTTCAGACTTTTCCTTCGAATAATACTTTTCATTCATCAATGAAGAGTGTGAAGAATCATTTCTGTCAGCTTTGTTGTCATTATTCATAGCAGTATGCCATTCTGAATAAGTAATGTGGACATTATCACCTTCATTATCATCTTCAGAAGAATAAGATTCATCACTTATTTCTTCTAATTTCACAATGATGAAATAACTTCATGGTTTAGCTTTTAACGCTTTGATATTTTGTGGAAGGATTACAACTCTAAATTCAAAAGACAAATAAATAGTTGGCAAGCGATCACTGTTTTTATATTTCTTGAATAATGCAATGTTTAGTCATTCCTTCAAAGATGATGTAATACTAATTGTTTGTTTCATAAACATGGTGTAATAAAATGGGTGGTATTGCATCATATTCAAACATTTTATTAAATGCTATATAAGAAATCTTTGCCAAGCATTACATAACTAAGAAAATGAGTAATTTGAAAAGTCTTCTAATAAAAAAAGACTTTGCATAATGACACCAATTTAGAATGGACAATATTTTTTTTATTTACTTGCATTATTCGGACTGTTGTCCTCATCTTCATTGCCATATTCACAACCTTTCGGCCGTTGTATGCTCCGGCCTTCTTCACGTGATTGTAATTTCAAACCAAACCTTTTATTTCGTCCATCGGGTAGATTGTTCTAGTTCCACGTGCCATGCCTCTTCCGGATGTCTCAGTTATTTCCCTTTAACTCAACTCTCCAAGTTTTTTGGTTCACCGCTGCTATGTCCTCGTATTAAACTCACACATCTTTGGGTCTAGTCACTAAATCTAATCAACGTCTTTATCCGCCGGGCCATGAGGCCCAGTGGATACAGACGTTGGTTAGATAACAGCGGCCGAAACTTTGTAAATATGGCAATGAAGATGAGGATAACAGTCCGAATAATGTAAATAATGCAAGTAATCATAATACCTCATCTCAGAGATATAGACAGATTTTTATTTAATTATTTCATCCATAATAGAAGTCACGCATCAAAATTTATTTTTTGTTCTAACTTTATTTCCTCTGTGTAGATGATAAAAAAATGAAGAAAAAAAAAATAAAAGTCATAAAAATAATTCAGATAGAATAACTATAACGGTAAAAAAATAGATTTTAAGAAAAAAATTTAGGTTCCATTGAACCCGTAGCAGACTGAGGATTCAGGTAGTGTGAAGCAATGCTGCTTCTTCACGAAAGACTCAATCAGTGGTGGCAAATTATGAAAGAATGCGGCCAGAAACCCCAATAAATTATTACTAC